TGCTTTCCACATAGCTTATATGTATTTCTCGACAGACCAACGAAACACAAGTAAAACCCTTCACTGTAACAGCAAAATTCTCCTTTGAAACGCATTGAATATAAACTAACTCGGTACTCTTAAAAGCACAAGCCACGGAATCCAGACAAGTGTGAAAGCACGCCATGGCTTCATCCCGAGAGCGCGGAATGAATGATGACGTCACGTACGCAGTGATAATATAAGCCTAAACCAGATGCATCATGGGATACTATTCGATCGTCGTCTGATCACAGCTGGAAATGCTAAGCGGAAGAAACTGGCTGAAGGGAAAATACCGATTTGTTGAGGTTATTTAGAGGAAGGAATGGTGCAGGGATTTCTCATTTCTACGTTTCTATACCTTGGCATTACATTCACAAACGGTAAGACGAAAGCGAGGCATTGAGGTCATGGAAAACTGTTTATAATTCTTTGAGTTCTCCCATTCACGTCGGCAACTTCCGTTTCTGACCATTTGAGTGAACTACGACGAATTCGAGACTGTTCACCTAATTCGCTCAATTAGAACCTAGACCGTCTAGGAGATTCTTATATTAACTTGAGTAATCGAGATGAGTCGAAGAATGAAACAAAAAAGAATTCGTGCTGTATCCTAAACCTTGAATTCGTACTTGTCACAAAGCTTTATGCGCCCAAAGTGATTTACCTTGCGTTTGCGGAAAAAGTTATACACAGGCGTACTGAACGGAAAAAATACTTTCTCGACACGTTTGTGTAGTAAGGAATTAGAAAACGGTACTGTCAACAAAATGAAAAGTCGTATAACTTTATTAATATCTGGGTTTGTTTTCAAGAAACCTGCTCTGTTATAAGGCATTGTGTTTTGTTTGATAACAAAATTTATTTACATATTTTTATCCGCCCATCCGCTATCGACGGAAACCAGTGTTGATTAAGCGGTTGGCAATTAGCTCAAGTGGGTCACGAAATACAAAAACAAAACTTATATATATGTATATATATTATTCAACCGTTACCTCCTTGTTCAATGTGGCAACGAAACCGTAATACGTAAAAAATTACAGCACGTCTGTGCTTGTTTAATTTACAAAGGCTTGTAAACCCAGCTAACTTCGAGAAAAACTCTTTCCCCATTTTTTTTTATTATTATTAAATCTTTTCCTTTCGTATCGTTTTTTTTTTTGTCTAGTGGAAGCCGCACTTCCTTTCAAAGACCAGTGCGTGAAGTGGCATAATACATACCGCATAAAACACCAGGTAAATAACAACTAGTATTGCATTTTAATCAAATAATAACTTCGTAAGAAAAATCTTACGTTGCGCATTCTGTTGTATTAACAGAAAGACATTCAATTTTGCAGTGCTTCCTTAAGGCGTGAGGCGGATTCGGGGTGGGTGGGAAGGATCGTGACTAAAACACCACACGAGTACATACGAGTAACATATGAGTACATATATATTGTATATTCCTATGTATTCGTATGTAACCAATGTATTCGTTATATAACCTGTATATTACCGTATATGTCTGTATGCAGTCGTATGTTACTCGTATGTAGTCGTATGTTACCCGGCCGTATGTACTCGTATGTTACTCGTGTGTTACTCGTATGTACTCGTATGTACTCGTATGTACTTGTATGTTACTCGTATGTACTCGTGTGGTGTTTTAGTCACGATCGGGTGGGAGGCGGGTGCGAGGAGGACGAGAAGACTGGCGCGAGGCGGGTGCGAAGCGGGCGCCAGGCAGGCGCCAGGCAGACGCCAGGCAGGTGAGGGGCATACGCGACTACGGTTCACTCGACCAAGTTTTCACTGGCAACCCTCTTCACCTTTGGGTATGAATGGATAGCGATAGATTGCTTGGGCAACCTGACAGGGTGATGATGGGGAGAAAGCTGTGATGAACTAGCCTCACACAGCAGTTGTCTTCGCAATTCCTTTATACTCCGGAAACTCGCGGTATTTTGTCGTGTCATCTTATTCATCTCATTTAACTTTGCTTATCCTCCAAGAGAGCTATATATAATTTTATACGGAAAACTGATTTTATTGTAGGTTGATCCAGTGACATGGGATACCAGCCTTGCCAAAGGCGCGGAGGACTGGGCCAAGTATTTAGCGAACAATAATTTATTCCAACACGCTCCAAACATACAAGCTGGAGAGAATCTTTACTGGTCCGCAAATAAACCCGACGAGCCTTGTACTGCGGCTACAAAAGCTTTCTATGGGGAGGTTAAATATTATGATTTCAATAAACCTGGATTTTCAAAGAATACAGGACACTTTACCCAGGTAAATCCGCGCTATAGCAGGAAAACGAAGCAGTCGTAGATATTTAAGACACTGATCAATGTTTTAAGTGAACAAACGGCACGTCCACAAGATTTATTTTACCAGTCTTTAAGGGAGCTCAGTCACTGTATTTTGATTTATTTCGGTCACGCACAAAATTTCCTTTTAACTGAAGGAGACCTGAAAATAATAGTTTACTAAGATAGAAAAACACTAAAGAGATAATGAAAAACCACAAAGGAACAAGGATGGTTAAGGATGGAGAAGATTGGCACGGATTACAAACGACGAACTTGAAATCATGATTTAAGCTAAGTTTTTCAAGATGCACAAGCCGCGACGTAGCTCCTTTAAGCACTATAACACGGACTTATGTAGTTTAACAATCCCACACTGAACCACTTGAGACAATGGACGAAGAAAAGAATAGATGTTTAGTCAAGAGCCCAAGGCAAGTGATTTGTACATCACCCTGGGTGTCGAAGTAGGCTTGTAGTAAATGCCATAAACTTTCAATCCAGACCTCCTGGTCGAGCCTTGGCGTGTCCAATTCCTGAACTCACACTTCCCCGCTTTGTGTAGGTCTATATAGAGGGAGAATTCAGAGACTGGACTAAGCCATTGTACTGTCACAGTGCACCCTCCCCCCCCCCTAATCTAACTACCTAGTCACTTCTTTTGACGGGATAAGCTCGATTCAGACTTCAATTTATGTTAATTTTATCTAAAAGCATCCTTAATGAGTTCACGAACCGATGAACCCTACAAACATGTGGTATATTCCTAGATAATAATTCCACGTGCAGAAAATGCAATAAAATAGCTAATGCAAAATCAGAGCACCCGCATTACCTTGAGGCGTTGCATAAAATCTGTAAACCCGGCGTTGTTTCTAGCTTCTAACAGATCTGCTCTCTTTGTACTGTTGTTTGAATTAGGTTGTGTGGAAAAACACCAAACAGATCGGAGCAGCACAAGCGACCAGGAAGGATGGCAAACTAGTTGTGGTGATTCGGTACTCCCCTCCTGGAAACTTCGTCTCGAAAACGGCTTTCATGAAGAATGTTCTCCCTGTTCAGGAGGGGACAGTACCTCCTCCCCATGCGGGTGGACCCGGTCAGATGTGTTGCTGCCTTGTTTGCAAATTGCTTATGAGTTTTGTGGCCATGGCTCTGAACTTTTGCTTTTAATTTGATACCTAGCGTGAAAGCATTGCGGATAACCTTTTTAAAGCGATAGAATTTACTAATACGGACTCACAAAAAGTAAAATATCTGATACGATATAAATAGAATATACCGTATTCAGGCGATCCTGTCAAGTTCCTTATAAATTTTGCCCCTTTAGAGAAATTTCAACTGCATGTGTTGAGAAAACAACAAGTTAAGCGAGAAAGCCACGGGTAGAATGAATATTAACTTACACGCATTATAGAAAACTTTACTTTACACTGGAGGAACTTGAAAACAGAGGTTTCACTCTGACAACGCATCAAATGTTTTCCGTCCACATTACGCCGGATGAATTTAAAAACGTAACAATCACCGATCATTTCCGATTTGTATTTGAGGAAAACTCAATCACGAAAATCACTTAATTATCGTGACGCCATAGTTTTCGAAAAGCTCCGTTTTCGAAATGTTTTCCGTCCACACGAAAACGAAAAGCTGGTGTTTTCAAATTCCTCCGGTTTGAAGAGGGTCTTCGAAACATGCACTCCGTTTCATGACGGATTAATGTGGACGGCAGGCCTAACCGTAGAAATAAAGCTGCATTTTCAAGTTTCTCCGACGTCGTTTTTGTTTGGGCCCCTGTCGTAATAAAGGCCGAAAAACTTTGTGCTTCTTGTTCAAAACCGCAAAGAGCTTCCTCTGGAGCAATCCTAACGTTGCTTCTGCAAATTTCTGTCTTTTTCTTCTTCTTCATCGCTGTCAATTCCGCTTGTCTTTGAGTTTCCCGCAGCATTCAGGTTCTGTCGCCTCCATTTGATTCTGCGATTCTGGAACCAGATTTTAACTTGTGTTTCATTGAGGCCCAGGTCGGCCGCAAGATAGAACCTTTGTGTGCCAACAATGTACTGTTGACGGTCAAACTCTTTTTCCAGTCGTTCTAACTGATCTGCTGTGAAGATTGTGCGATTTCGTTTTGGCTTGCAACCAATTTCCGTTTTCCAACTCGTGTGTTCTCGATCATCTGAAAGAATAGCACCCACACATACTCATTCGGTGTTGGTTATAGGGGACGCGGGAGGTCAACTTTCGAAAATTTGCACTTGCATGGTAAAACTGGTTCCTTCATCGCATGAGGCAGCGCGAAGTCTTGTACTACCTCCCAAAGATGTTATGTTACTTAGTGCATGGCGCCAGGTTCCCCCGTCCACTCCATGTCTTTAAAAATGACTGAGACAAGGCTTTTGTTATTCAGATCATCACGCCATATTGAGGTTCCTCTTCCATGAAGAGAAACGACGTAGACCAGCAGAAGGGTATGCCATAAACAAAAACCCTCAACAGTTCAGTTTCTCTTTTTGATCACTTTTCATGTCCTTTTTTGACTTTTGTATCAATGAACAAACATCAAATTGCTTTTGATATAGTAGTTTGTGGATTTCTTTGTTTTGGAAGGAATTCCATAGTCATTCTATTATATTTCAAGAAACTCTGCGATATCAAATGGTTCTCTATAAAACGTATTAAGACATCCAGGTTCAGAAAACGCATTTAAATCGTTTGAAATGAGGTCAAACCTTTTAGAACTGATTTTTGCACGTTTAAAAGCTATGTGTAAAATAATGCAAATAAATAACGCAGTACACTCTTCAAAAGAATGTATCGCTAGAAAAGCACCTTTGATTCCTTAGCTAATCGAAAAAAAGAAACCTTATTTACCTCTAAGCAAGGGCGATGCCAACAGCCTTTCTTCGCCAATTTCGTGGCGGGAAACTCCACACGCTGCGGGTCGCTGTCTGTAAATGGCGGGAAAAACCACGCGGCATGGACAGTCACTTTCTCCCTCGTGCGATATGTTCCGTGACGCATGAGCAGGTTGTTTTTCGTTCTGTTCTGGTAAAACAGGGTCGTGTTTCAGAATTGAGCTGGTGTAAGAACTAGGAATTGCTTGTAAGCCCTGTAGCTGATTATGACAGTAATCTTCGGGGCAGCATGGAACCAAAATATAACCGTGAAAATAACGTTGTGATTGTTGGAGATCCATTTTCCATGCGCGTCTAACTTCTTTGAATGAATGAATTCGCTGAGTGGAATAGGCAAAGGCGAACTTGACGCGGATTTATTGAAGAGTTGAAGATCAAATCGATAAATTAGCGCGCTAATAACACAGTATTAGGAAATGAATTGGTAATAACGCATCTTTATTGCTAGTGAGTGTTGACTTTTTGAGCCATAAATCGTACACGAGTCCTGATTATTGTGATGCGCGATAAAGCAAAACTCAGACTTAGACACCCAAGCAACCTACTTTGAAAGGAATTTGTGAGACAAAAGGCTCCTCAGGGCTAAAAAGTTCCGTAATTACAATAAATCGATCAAAAACACAAACGTTTTCTTTTCAAAATTGTGTCTATCGCAAAAAATTCATTGTTTTGCGTTTCTTCCACTAATTTAGAATCACTCTGTTGTCAAGGGAACCAGTCTTACCAGTATGTAGGTTTTATTACTTCCCTTTTGGAAGCATAAAATAGATAAACTCTATTATGTGGGCTTAATGACTTAGTTAATTGCCTTTCAGGGACATTAAGTGTAGCCGTGAGGCAAATGATTTATGTCAAAAGCCTTTTAACGAACAAAACATAATAATTTAACAAGAGATATGATGCTGATTACTTATTAGAGAAAAATAATTAAACTGAAGCTTAAATAGCGTAAAACTATATTTTTTGTTGTATATTTTTTTTTCGGAACACTATATGACCTGTACGTAAAAACAGGTTTTTCAAACACGAATAAACTGTACAATTGGACTCGGTCTTTCTTTCCAAAACCCATTGTATTGCGGAAAACCCCGTTTCTCGGGTTACGTTTTATGAACTTTGTAAGCCTTTATTTATTTGAAGGGAGAGATTCTGAGTTTGTTTCAGATAAGTTTATATTTGTTGGTCATTAAGGCTTATAGCAACAATTCAATTATTACCGAAGGAGACTATTTAAAAGCGACGGCTTAAATCATTCAAATTTTACTTACTTCCCATTGGGACATATTTTTTACCCTAATAATATCGTATGGTAGACGACATCAGTGTAGTCTGACATGACTAGAACAGAAAAATAGTGTAGTAACTACAAAGTGCCAAAATACAGCCAGAGGACACAGGTAGTGAAGTTGTAATAACCAAGAAATAATAATACAATAAAGATTATTGGGAAAAATAATCGTCAGCCCAATATTATATTTTCTTGAAGCTTATAAAGATATTGTTGACTACAGCGGAGAGATTCGCTGACGAACTGTTCATTTTTTCGCATGGTGAAGAAAAAAGGTAGCATAGTTATGAGCGCAACAACAAAAACAACAACAACTTTATTTGTACTCACTCAGCTAAAAATTAAATGAAAAAAATAAGTTTAAAATAATAAAAAAAAGAGTACATGGCTGCCAAATATAACCTTAATGGGTTAATAAGACTGGTCAGCCATCCTTTGGTTAGTGATGTTTCTCAAAATCAATGGCACTTATACAAAATGTTAAAAATGTTACCTTCATAGCGGGTAGTAAGAGGGGAGAAGGTAATCTAAATGTGCATGACGTTTCACGAGCTAAACAAAAGGGCCATCCCTATTTTAAACCAGAACTTTCTGGATCTTTAATATACGATAAATGTACTGCCTGTGTTAAGGCCAAGAAATCAAGATTTGTGCCCGAAACTAAACCAATCAATAACCATATCACAGATAAATTGTGGTCGTGAATTAATTGAGGCTAATGCCTTTTTAGCCGATCAGGATATACGCGAAAAGAAAAAAAACAAAAACAACAACAACAGAAAGAGAAACACCTTGAATCTGTCGTGCGCAAAATTCTCCCAAAACAGATTGCCGACTCAGTTTGCCCGAAAGGATCACGACTCGCCCATCTTTAT